TTTTTCTGAGTAGTTTATTGGAGATAAGTCGCATGGACTTTCCTGCCTGCGCTGGCTTCAAACTGTGGTCCTCAGATATCAGCTTCCTGAGGTTGGCTAGAATTAAAGGTATTAGCCAATAGTAGCTGGCCCCATTTTTCTTTCTTTCTTTCTTTCTCTTTCTCTCTCTCTCTCTTTCTCTCTCTCTTTCTCTCTTTCTCTCTTTCTCTCTTTCTCTCTCTCTCTCTTTCTCTCTCTCTCTCTTTCTTTCTTTCTTTCTTTCTTTCTTTCTTTCTTTCTTTCTTTCGCAAGTCCTGGGGCTTGAACTCAGAGCATGGGCACTGTCCCTGAGCTTTTTTTTTTTTTGGGTCCGGTCATGGGCCTGAACTCTGGGCCTGGGCACTGTCCCTCAGCTCTTCAGCTCAAGGCTAGTGCTCTACCACTTGAGCCATAGCACCACTTCCGGCTTTTTTTCTTTTTGCTTATGTGGTGCTGAGGAATGGAACCCAGGGCCTCATGCATGCAAGGCAAGCACGCTACCACTGAGCCACCTTCCCATCCCCCTGAGCTTCTTTTGCTCAGAGCTAGCACTCTACCACTTAAGCCACAGCACCACTTCCAGCTTTTTCTGTATATGTGGTACTGAGGAATTGAACCCAGGACTTCATGGGTGCTAGGCAAGCACTCTACCACTAAGCCACATTCCCAGCCCCCCATTTCTTTTTAAAAGTTGCTTGAAATTTAACATTTTCTACTGGACCAAGGCAGGCAAAACTGCTGGGGAAGTTAAGAAGGCACATGTGTCTCCATTTTTGGTGTTTCAGTTCTTTTGTTGACTTTAGAAAAGAACCTGACCACCCCGTTAACTGAAGTGTGCCTAGCCTAAGAAAAGTGGCCAAGAGGAGGTGTGGGCTCTTCCCAAAGCAGGCAAAGGGGAAGGCTTGGGTGGAGCAAAGGCCTCTGCCATTACAGAATTGGGGGGGCAGAATTTTTTTGGGGGGGTGATTCTGAGTGCCTTGGGGACTCTAGAACAATGGACCTGAGTGAGAGAGTAGCCTTGTTAATGAAGAGGCTTTACCAGCCTAGGGAAGACTTGATGGGGGATCCTTTGATAGAAAAGAAAAACTCCAAAGGCTGTGACAGTAATGAAATGGGGTTTAGGGAAAGAATGAAAGGGATGGCTAACATTTTTTGATCTGACCTGGCAGAGAACAGTGGTGTGGATACCACACTAAGAATGCTCAAGAGCTTAAAGCTATGCTGCATCTGGACAGACCAGAGTCCTTGATGGAGGGAGAGGAAAATGTTCCACCTCTACCTGGTGAGCTTTGCTCTCACCATTTACTAAATATCCACTTGCTGCCAACACAGCTGGACAGTGGGAATCCAGAAGCAAATAAAGCAGTCTCTACCATGAGGAGCCTGCAGTCTAGTGGCAGAGACAGGTAAATAAGTACATAATTAGGAGGCAACAATGCTTGATAAGAAATGTACTCATTGGGGGGGGGTGAATAAAAAAAGAAAGAAATGTACTCATTACCTTGCTCATGTAATTGTAACCCCTCTGTATGGTATTTTCACAAAAAAGTACATTAATTGCAGAACATATAGGGATGTGGCAATCAGATTAGGTTCAAGATGCCACAGGAGCTCACACCTGTAATCCTAGCTAATCAAGAGGCTGAGATCTAAGGATCATGGCTCAAAACCCAGGCAGGAAAGTCAGTGAGACTCTTATCTCCAATGAACTGCTGCAAGTGGAGCTGGGGTTCAAGTGGTAGAGCAGCAGATAACTTCTAGGCCTTTAGTACTGGCATACACACACACACACACACACAAGATGACAGAGGAGTCCAAAGACATGGTCAATCGGAGATGTCTGGGCTGAGATATACACAAGGACAGCAAAGAGAGAAGGTCTGGGTTTCTTCCTCTGCTCAACTCAAAAGCCACTCCAACTGCTGGCCTGAGGAGGGAAATGGATCAGCAAGGGAGGAACAGAGCAGGACTTGTACTTATGACCTGGTATGCCCACAACTAAATAAAGTATGTACCATCCCAATGTCTTAAGTCTACATGGAGATGTCTGGACACAGGACATTGTGGAAAAACAGCCCCTTCTTCAAGTTTCAACACAACTTTTAGGACCTTAGAGCAATTATTCCAGGCCATGGAAACACAACAGTCATTCAGTAACATGATTCAGGGGAGAAAAACCAGAACTCACAGGCCAAAGGAGAAGCAAGATTTGAAACATAAACAGGAGGAACTTATCCTTGAAGTTCTCTCTTGGAGCCAGAAGCTTTCTCCATTAGACTGCAAATACCCCCCAAGAACCAGGGCTCCTTGAACAGGAGCAGAGGTGGCCACTGCCACCACAACTGACCACTGAGTAGGAGCCCAGATGATACTAGCTGCCTTCCCAATGTGTCCCGGTACAGATAAAAACATCACACCCATACAGCACCCACAGCAGGTGGCCAGACAAGCTGATAGTTCAGGTCATGGGTGTATCCAGGCAGAAGAGGGGAATTTGCTTAGATTAGTAGAAGGAAGCCTGCAAAGAAGAAAGCATTGTGCCCAGTCCCTGAAATGGGATGGGAAGAAAGATCGCCTCTGGTTTGGGGAAACAGTTCTTCATCTCCAGCAGCTTGGAAGTGGGGTGTAATTCTGTGGCTCTGGAACTAGGAGAGAAGTGACACTGAGTAATCCTGAGAAGTACTGTCCCCTAAGATGGGCAAGTTCCCTAAGACACAGAGAGATTCATTTTCATATTCAGCCCAAGATCTTAAAGAAAGAAACAGTCCCCAAAGTGATTCATCCATCTTTAAATAGTTCACAGAGTCAGACAAATTTCTCCTTTACAGTAAGGCCAGAGACACGGATACATTAGCTTAGGATCACACAGTAAGTTGGTACCAGAAAGAAGCTGAGCCTCTTTCCTTCAATGTGCTATTTCTAGGCTGGCTTTTTGTATGTACAGCAGTGCCCAAAAGGGGCTCTACTCTTTTTTGAGGTAGTGCTCGCCTGGCAAGCCAGGTCATCTGACCTTACATGAAGTATTTTCACCAAGGTAAATGGATCTATGAGCCAAATTATCTCCCTGGCTACAACCTCTCCAAATTATTTCTTTGATAAAAGGAGTGTGGGGTAAGGCAGAGAAGTCCAAAACGTGACAGGAACACAGAGTTAACAGATGAACCCAGCTGCTGTCTCTAGGAACACAGATAAGAGTAATGTACTGAAGGCTCCAGAGAAGAGTTAGATAGCTGAGAGAGTAGAGGAGCCCTACGTCCTTGGGATGCAGATGCTGGTTCTGAAGATAGCATGCCCAGGCCTGGCACACTCAGTGGATATGAAAGATGCTACACTGGTATTTCCCCCTAATGAGTGAGTTCCCCTTAGCACATTTCCCCAGCCTTGCAAAGCAAGTGGTGTGGGATTTTTCTTGTTCCATCCCGCCCCCCCCCCAACCTCCAGTGGAAGCAGAACCTAGAACTTAGGAACTTGGGTTGACTGGTTAACTACGAATACCGCCCTCTACCCCAGCTCCAGTAGCAGTCATCTAGGTCAAGGACTTCCCCTAGAGGCACTCTGGTTCAGTAGAAAAACTACCAGACCAAGCTTGCTAACCAGCTGTTGAACCTTGAACAAACATTTAACATCACTGTGACTTAGCTTTCTCACACACAAAAAAATGTGGAGGCTAGATGAAATGCTTGCTACAATTTCTTTCCAGTTTTAAACCTGAGAATTTCATAGACGCTCAAACTTCAATTTTCCCAAGAGTACAAGGCTGAGAGTGAGCTGTCATCACCACCCTCTGGGATTTCTCTCATTTGTCCCAATAGGCTAGCACTTATGTACTTTGTGTCTGCACTTCACACCACGGCCCCTGTGAAACCTTTCCAGCAGCTCCCTTAGATGTCTGGTCTGCCTGCACCTTCTCCTAGGAAACATATTTTAGTCTCACCATTTTTCCCTCCTGTAAATCTGAACTGTGGGTGTCAGGTTGAGGGAGGCAAGGAGGTCAGGCAGACCTCTCTGCTCTCAGATCCCAAAGGGCCCAGGGACTCTAGCCATGGGACAGGATAGAGCTAGCATTTCATGAAAATTCTCAGCTCCTGCAGTGTTTCTGTCATTCCTGATCATAACTGGGTTTGATTTTTATAGGGGAGGGAAGGAAGATCTGCAGTCTTGAACACATTTGCTCGGGTCAATCAAGTAAACAAGGATGGCAGAGTGGGAATGAAAATCTAGGTGTCTGCACCCTCAGGCTAGTATTTTTTCCACTTTTCCATTTTCAAGCAGAAGATTTGGAAAGAACCTCTTGGCTTTCCATCCCAGCACGACGTCCTGTTTAAATCAGCTGAAGACCGCCAGGTTTCAGGGGAAGAATCTGGTCCTGAGACAGGTAGGACAAAGTTAAGGGAGTGCTGGGTAAGAAGGGAATAGGACCTGAAAGCCGTGCACATCCCTTCTCAGCCTTGCAGGGAGGGGGCACCTGGGGCCTGTAAAAGAGAGAGGGGGAGCCCCTTGACCCTTCCTCTCTGAGGGGAGGATGAGAAGCTTGAATTTCCCCCCTTCCTTCCTCTTTTTTTTCTTTCTTTCTTTTTGGCCACTAGGGCCTCCCAGCCCCCAGGCCTGAAAGTCCCCAGTGGTGACTGTGTGGTTGGGGCTGCCTGGCCCAACAGGAAAACCCGTTCCTCTCCCAAATCCACCTTTTTTTTTTTTTTGGCCTGCCACAGATCTTCAACCGCACTAAACCCTCATCGCTTGCAGTAAACTGGGTGCCTTTCCCTCCCGACACGGCGCCACAGTGGCGTTCCCCTTCTCCCCCAGGAGAAATGCCCCCAAAGTGTCACCAGCCCAGAGAACTAGGTAGTGCCGCCTCCACGCTCGCTTGGCACCGGGCAGCGCGGGCCACCGCTCCAACCCGCAGGTAGCCTCCTGGCTCCTTGCACTGTGTGTGTGTGTGTGGGGGGGGTAAACCCTGTAGCCCAGGTGCCCCCAAGACTCACCCAGAAGAGCATGTTGAAGAAGAAGAGCAGGTATTTCACCAGCGGGCTGACGAAGGAGAACTCCTCCCCGTAGGCGCCGGGCGCCCCGGGTCTGCGCGCCATGGTCCGCCGCTGCCCCCCGGGGGCCTATCTCCCCGCGGCCGCCGGCCCACCTGCGCGCCCCGCACCCGGGGGCATGAGCGGCGCCGCCGCAGGAATCCGGGCGGCGGGGGAGCTGCGCCGCGGCGGGAGCCGCCCGAGCCCTGCGTCGGGATGGCGCGCGGGCTGAGAACGGCGCCTCTGCGGGAACCGCGGGAGCCGACGCGGACAGCCGGAGCTGCGGAGACTCCACCGCGACCGCAGGACCAGCCCGACCCGCCAGCTCCCGGGAAACTGAGCCCGCCCCCGGCCGCCTATTGGTGCAGCTGCCACAGCCTGACTTCTGATTGGTGGAGCGCTGATGTCACTAAGTATCCAGCCGTCCCGCCTCCTCAGAGAGGCGGGGGAGACACCTGTTCTGTGAGGGACAACTTGTTAAAAGGGTCAGCGGTTCTGCCTCCTCCCCACCCAGAGGAAAACCTCTAAGGCTGCAGCTGCTCAAGGGGGTGGGAGGAGAAGAATGAGGAAAAGGAATGCAACACTGAATCCCACACCCACGTCTTCTTCCCTGTTGCTGGGCACACATGCAAACACACACACACACACACACACACACACACGCACGCACGCACACACACACATTAAAATCAACAAGTATGCACTCCGAGTGTTGAACAATGCGCTGAAAACTATGGGAACACAAGAAAACGAGTAACAATACCCAGGAGAGGACAGTGAAATCACAGACAAAGCCTTGTTGAACTCATTATCGTGCTGCCTCAGCTTCTTGGGTGCCTGGATTATAGACGTGAACCATCAAGTCTGCCTCCCAAATACTTTCAATCATATGTAAGATCCTAATCTCTCACACACATACAAAATTCCATCAGCAGTTGGTTAAACTCACGGAACTTGCAGATGTGGAACCCTAGGGTCAGAGGTATGACTGCATCACAGACACCATCATATGGCTGTATTTTGTGTGAGTAAATTCTTCACCCAAAATTTATTGTTCTTACTATATTATTATTGTGGTACTGAGGACTGAACTCGGACCTCCATATATGCTAGGCAAGCATGCTACCTACAAGCTACATCCCCAGCCTTGAAGAGTTTTTAAGAAATGAACATATTATTATCTCCCCTTGGGAAATTTTTTAAAAAATTAAGTGGTAGTGATAAGAGTAGAGTAAGAATTTTGTTTTTTTTGGGTCGAGTTGTGGGGCTTGTACTCTGGGCCTGGGCACTGTCCCTCAGCTCTTCAGCTCAAGGCTAGCACTCTACCACTTGAGCCACAGCACCACTTCCAGCTTTTTTCTTTTTGCTTATGTGGTGCTGAGGAATCGAACCCAGGGCCTCAGGCATGCAAGGCAAGCGCTCTACCACTGAGCCAACTTCCCAGCCCTAGAATAAGAATTTTGAGGCGAGAGCAGGTGGAATGGATTGAAGGAATTGGAGATGGCTTTTTGTAGAGGAGGAGGGGTTTGGCAAACCCAGGTGGGGAAACAGCTTAAGCAAAGCTGAGCCCGAGGGGCTGGGAAGGTGGCTCAGTGGCAGAGCACTTGCCTTGCATGCCTGAGGCCCTGGGTTCGATTCCTCAGCACCACATAAGCAAAAAGAAAAAAGCTGGAAGTGGCGCTGTGGCTCAAGTGGTAGAACACTAGCCTTGAGCTGAAGAGCTGAGGGACAGCGCCCAAGCCCAGAGTTTAAGCCCCATGACTGGACCCAGAAACAAACAAACAAACAAGCAAAGCTGAGCCCTAAGGAAGAGCTGAGGGTCACATAAACCACTAGTGAGGAGACTTTGCTCTGAGATGTTTTTAGAAAGATTGATAGATTCAGGATAGTTTATGAGGTCCAAGAGTTGTTTCATATTCTCTGGTATTATTAATAACCTGTAATCATACTCAAATATAAGACTTAGGATTTTAGAAATTGTGTGTACCTATATTTTTTCATATGAAAGTTGAGTCCAGTAAAAGAGACCAAAATTTGGGCCGGGGCTGTAGCTCAGTGCTAGAGTGCTTGCCTGGCATGTCTAAGGCCCTAGGATTAATCCCCAACATACACAGACTCACAGACACAGACACACACAGACACACACACACACACACACACACACACAGAGTTGGATAATCATCTGGGCCTAAAAATAACTCAAGGAAGCCTAAACAAAGGAATATTAAATTAGAGTTACATTGGATTTTATTTCAACTTTATTAGACCATTGGAGTAAATACTAAGCACAATTGCATATATGAAATTGGTATATAATTGACAGTGCTCAAATAAGGAAGGGAGTAGGGCTGAAATGACATTTAGAGGAAGCTTAGCAAACTTGGTTAAAATAAACTTACTAAAGCAAGCAGAACATTTGCAACTCCACATTGGAAATTGGGTGCTTTCATTCAATCGTAATAGTTTATCTTCCTTCCAGAAGGAGGTTGGACCTTATTGATAATCTTTGAATTAAGGTCATTAGGGATGGGGATGGGTACCCAACTGGGAAAAATAGAAAATCAAAACAAACAAAATAGCTAGTTATGTTTGCTTTGCTACCCATCAAATATTAACACCTGGCTAGATGATTAATCAGTGGCTCTTATGATTTTTGAGGCACAAGGATCATCTGTGGAATTAGTTTAAAAGGGCTGGGAAGGTGGCTTAATGGTAGAGCGCTTGCCTTGCATGCCTGAGGCCCTGGGTTCGATTCCTCAGCACCACATAAGCAAAAAGAAAAAAGCCGGAAGTGGTGCTGTAGCTCAAGTGGTAGAGCACTAGCCTTGAGCTGAAGAGCTGAGGGACAGCGCCCAGGCCGAGTTCAGGCCCCACAACCGGACACCCCCCAAAAAAAATCATTAAAAAAAAAGAATTAGTTTTAAAGAAAAAAGAAAAAATATTTTTGCTGGGCACCAGTAGCTACTGCCTATAATCTGAACTATTCAGGAGGCTGAGACCTGAGGACTAAGGTTCAAAGCCAGCCCAGGCAGGAAAGTCTGTTGAAACTCTTAGCTCCAACCCACCAAAAAGCCAACTGAGCTGTTGCTCAACTGGTAGAGTACTAGCCTTGAGCACAAAAGCTCTGGGACAACACCTAGGCACTGAGTTCAAGCCTCAGTACTGGCACGTGCACACATGCACACACACAGACACACTCACAACAGATACCCAGGCCTTAGCTCCAGTGATTCTGAGTTTTTGCCGGCTTGGGCAAATCAGCACAGTGGAAATTTACTTAAACACATAGCTTCTGTAGTTATTTTTTATTATTCATTTATTTTTGTGCCAGAACTAGGGCTTGAACTAAAGGTTTTGTGCTCTTGCTTAGATTTTTCTCTTAAGCACTCTACTACTTGAGCCACAGCTCCACTTCTAGCTTTCCTGCTGGTTAACTGGAAATAGTAGTATCACAGACTTTTCAGCTTGGACTGGCTTTAAACATCTATCTTCAGATCTCAGCCTCCTGAGAAGCTAGGGTTACAGGCATGCGCCAAGAGTGCTCAGCTTGTGTAGTTCTTGTGTAGATCACTATGAACAATAGTTTGAAAAACTCCAGGGATTTAGCATTTTTAAGGGTAAGACTTGTGCAATTAAGAAATGAATTTTAGCTTAGAATAGTTATTTTCCCTTTATATGATGGAATCAAATATGTGCAAAGTTAGGAGGCTAATAATACAGTCACATCCTCAGTAACCCAATAGCAACAATTATCAACTCCTAGCCATGCTTAATTCTTGCTTCCTTTCCTCCTTCCTTCTTTCCTTCCATCCCTCCCTCCTTTCTTCCCCTTCTCTCTCTCTCCTTCCTTTATTCCTCTCTTTTTCTCTCTTTCCCCTTCCTTCCTTCCTTCTTTCTTCCTTTCCTTCTTGTTCCAATACTGGGTTTGAATCCAGGGCCCTGTACTCTCCCTTGGCTTTTTCTGCTTAAGGCTGGTACTCTACTACTTGAGCCACACCTCTTCTTCCAGGCCATTCTTATTTAATAACTACTACTCTCCTACAGTCCCATCACTGGCTCATTGCAAAGTAAATCCAAGGCATCAAATTGTTCCAAAAAGTGTAGATATTTTTGAATTATGTATTTACTAGTCATCATTAATGCAATAACTGTACATCTAGTAAGGATTCCAAACACTACAACTTTTCTTAACACTTATCGTATTTGATAGGAACAATTAATTATGAAAACTGCTTTCACTATATTCACTGCTGTTGGCAACCAACTGTCTCTTTCAAAAACTATTGGCAATCAACTGTCTCTTTCAAAAACTATTTCTGAGGTCTTGGGGGGGAAAGCTTGATGTTCAACACACATCTGCTTTATTTTTTCAGCTCTAGTCTCTTTTAGCCATAATGACATGTGAAAAGATGATAGCAATTGGAAGCTTGTGCTAGTGATTAAACTGATAAGGAAAGAAAGGTACATAAGAAGAATCAAGCAATGACTTTTCCCAGATATATTAGACTTTATCACTATCTACTTAAGGGTATCAAAACAATATTTATTCTGAAAGTCTGGTAGGAAAACTGTTATTAGGAGTCTGAAATTTATTTACTTCCAAATTTCCTTTTTCCTCATTGAGATCTTCTTGAGTTATTCTTTTTTTTTGGGGGGGGGTCCGGTCGTGGGGCCTGAACTCTGGGCCTGGGCGCTGTCCCTCAGCTCTTCAGCTCAAGGCTAGCGCTCTACCACTTGAGCCACAGCGCCACTTCCAGCTTTTTTCTTTTTGCTTATGTGGTGCTGAGGAATTGAACCCAGGGCCTCAGGCATGCAAGGCAAGTGCTCTACCACTGAGCCACCTTCCCAGCCCCTTGAGATGTTATTCTTAAAGATATCCAGTTGGGTACGTATGGCTCATGCATGTAATTTTAGCTACTCAAGTGACAGTCCAGCAGGGTGCTAGTGGCTCATGCCTATAATCCTAGCTACTCAGGAGGCTGAGATCTGAGAATCATGGTTCAAAGCCAGTCTGGGCAGGAAAAGTCTATGAGGCTCTTATCTCCAATAAACTACTTAGAAAACTGGAAGTGACACTGTGGCTCAAGTGGAAGAGTGCTAGCCTTGAGCTGAAGAGCTCAGGGCCAGCAC